CAGACGTGACGCAGACGTCACGTAAATCACGTGTGGCAGTGAAGTGTATTGTCAGACGTTTACGTGTCATTCACGTGTAGCAGTGAAGTTATAAATTGTTTTTTTCTCTAACACGGGTTTAACACTCTACTCAGCACAGCTCAGTGCAGTGTGTCAGCGGTTGCGATCGGTTCTTTAATATGACTTTGCAACATGCACTCGTCTCAATGAACGTGACACTTGCGTCTGTCTTATAACGTCACGTCTGCGTCTGTGATTTATATATAGGATTTAAAAAAAAATTTATTTTAAAAGGCCAGCACTTTGGTAAACTAGAAAGCAGAAAACTCGATCGCACAACCACTGTTTCTGTAGATCCTTTAAATAGAAGAATAGAATTAAAAAATAATATTTTTTATAAATAGGCCTATAAAACTAGGCTATAGGCTACTAAAATGGTTACAAAAACATAATGTCGGATATCCGAAATAATAGGGTAGCCTACTACAATCTGCAAACACAAGGCTAAGTATGAACACAAAACAGTTTAGGCTATGTCCTATAGGACGTCATTTGTTTGTTTATTTATTTAGCCTATTCACTTTTTGTAGCAGCAGCATAATAAACCAGACGTGTTTCGTTTGTCACATGCTATTGTTTGGGTTTTCAGCGTATTTTTATTCCAAATGTTCTATAGCCTTGAATATAAAAGTTTTATATTAGCCTATTATATTATATAATAATAATAATTTTTGTTAATAGGCTATCTTCATTATATAGAGATATAATTATACAAAATACAAAAAGTAGCCTAGTCAAAACGCATAAAGAACATTACATTTAATATTTTTACTATATATTTTGTGCTTATTAATTTTAATTAACGAAATATCAATCATCTTTATAACAGAAGATACAATACAGTCCTTTTCGTGTAGGAACAAGCAATGCTAGAAATATGTGGTTAGCATCTTAATGTAATCTTTATTTTATTATTTTATTCGTTCATTTACTAATTAGCTGTATGTTAACTCAACTAATGTAATGTAAATAATTGGAGACTAATTATCCAATAAATAAGTAAATAATGTAATGATTAGAGTAGCCATAGACTAAAGATTTTTCTTATATTAATTAGGTGCATGCATGGTCAAGCGCACGCATAAATCTTGCTGCAAAGCACCGGCAAAAGTAGGCGTCAATCTGGATTTAATAAATAAGAAGTAAATATAGCAGACAATAGATAATACGACACGGAGGCGCCGGCGCGCGCGTGAACTGGAGCGCGTCTCATAAATTAACCGAAACTCAGCGTATACTTGCCTCCCAGACCTGAGAAATATATCTATATTGAAATGTCTACTTGTAAACAGAATAATTAAAAATGAAAGAAAACAGACTGCTCTCTGCTTATGTAATCTGTATGAAATGTGCATTTCTCTCTGGCGCGTTCATACTGAAGATCGCGAGTCAGCATCGTCAACTTCATCTTTATTAATAAACAATTAAAATGTCTCCTTGCTATATTTGACATATTCATAATCATTGCTTTTGCCGGTTCTTTGTGACAGCTTTTAGGTGCTTTATCGACAGCGCCGCCGCATCAAAAACATGATTGCGTGATGAAAACATGAAAAATGGCACCTAAACACAGCAATTAAATTAAAACAATTAAACAGTTAAAACTAAAAGTGTGTTGTAACGCAAGCGTTACTGAACATGTATACCAAGTAAAATATTACTGAAAATTGATTTGTAATATACTGCATTACAGCAAAAAATAAAATTTGTCACATGCTATTGTTTGGGTTTTCAGCCTATTTTTATTCCAAATGTTCTATAGCCTATAATTGAATATAAAAGTTTTATATTAGCCTATATATTATATAATAATAATAATAATAATATTTTTTGTTAATAGGCTATCTTCATTACATAGAGATATAATTATACAAAATACAAAAAGTAGTCAAAACGCATAAAGAACATTACATTTAATATTTTTACTATATATTTTGTGCTTATTATTTTTAATTAACGAAATGTCAATCATCTTTACAACAGAAGATACAATACAGTCCTTTTCGTGTAGGAACAAGCAATGCTAGAAATATGTGGTTAGCATCTTAATGTAATCTTTATTTTATTATTTTATTCGTTCATTTACTAATTAGCTGTATGTTAACTCAACTAATGTAATCTAAATAACTGGATACTAATTACTAATATCCAATAAATAAGTAAATAATGTAAAATAAATGTATTGATTAGAGTATAGCCATAGACTAAAGATTTTTCTTATATTAATTAGGTGCATGCATGTTCAAGCGCACGCATAAATCTTGCTGCAAAGCACGGCAAAAGTAGGCGTCAATCAAACTTCGGTGAAACTCTAAAAACTAAATATTACAACTTTAAAATTAAACATTACAAATAACAAATTTGTTAGTTGAATCAGCCCAAATGTTTACAACTAGGCTAAGTTATTTTGTGTTGGTCACGAGACTCCTAGTGGTGAATAGTACATAGGCCTACATGCTTTTTATTGTTAATCTTTTTATGATTGAGTAGGCTATATGTGGACATATTGACAAGAAAAAATGGCAAACACAAATTTTAACATGATAATTTGTGTAAATTAATATTTACTAACTATATAATAAAAAGCTATGTATAAGCAAGGTAATATCACTTCATTGCTAATAAAATAGAATTAAAGATCAGTGGGAGAAAATAATACAGAACGAATAAGTGTGTGGAATGTGCTGGAAACCCCCTTGACGCAGACGTCACGTTTGGCACACGGACGAGTGATGTGGCAGACGCAGACGTCACGTTCGGCAGACGCAGACGTCACGTTCGGCAGACGCAGACGTCACGTTCATTGAGACGAGTGCGTGCTACAAAGTTACATTTTTGAGCCTATCGGAACGCCATAGCTCTCCACCGACTGCGCTGATCAAAAGCATGATGGGAAACGACTTGCTGACGGCACAGCTTAATGCTCATTGGTTTAAACAACCGTGATGTATTGTTCTCTTTTAAAATGTTTGATTTTAAAACTCTGATATCATGTTTTATGTGTATAGATAATGTGTGGATATCCCCAAACTCTCTGACAGTGCGATCTATGTGATGTAATAAAAAAAAAAAAAAAAAAAAACACACATAGGCCTATCTGTATTAAAGAAAAAATGATTCATAAACATATATGCCTATTTAAAATGGAATTAAATAAGTACTTGGGTGTCTTGTTCATTATATTTATTTTCATATTCAAGCAACAAAACTTAAAATACATCCAGTTTATTAGCAACACCGTGCACGAGTGTGAATCCCGTGAATCCCGCGATATCCGCCTTTGATCTCGTGTCAGATCCACTGCGAGAAGAGCGATCTGTCCGGCTTGCCTGCGCTTTTTTCACTCCTCCTCTCACTGCAGCCGCCTACTCTCGACTACATTTCAGGCGAGGCAAGGCGCATCTCAAACAAGCCTATTCTATATAGATCAGTGGTCAAAGCCCGCAGAACAGAGGGGTGGAGTGAGCGAAGCTCTTTATCATTTAAAGCCAGGCATATGCACTGAAACGGCGTGCTGAAAACAGAGCTGTTTTTGACTAGGTAAAATTTGTGTTTTCTTAAAATTTTTAATAAAAGTATATTACAAAGTTTTCATTTAGACCCTAAACCTTCATAACTTGTACAAAAATGGCATTATATGACCCCTTTAAGGTGCTGAAGGAGAAAATTAAGTAATATGTTGTTCATGTTGTTATTTAGCACATTTTGAAATTTATGTGTCTCCTGAGACACATTGCCTGTTTAGGGTATACAAAAGGGATTAAACTAGTTCTATTTAAAATGCACTATTCAAACTTAAATGATTGTAATTCAAGAATACTTTGGAATATAGACCTAATTTTGGTCTTGTTTTAAAGAAAACAGTCAGCAGATTATTGCTGAAGTGAAAGCACTTTAAAAAATGAAAGTATAAAAAAGTTAAGGAAGTTTAAATCTTACATTAAATCAAATATACTGTACTTAATATTTATTCTTTTTTATAAAATATGTATTTTACAAAATATTTTTTTACTATAAAATTACTATAAAATCAAAGCCATATATCTAACCAAGTTGTGTTCCAAATTTGAAGTTGATATCACAAAAATCGAAGTTCCCGTGAGATTTTGTTTATAGGCATAGGCTAATACCAAAAATAGCCACCGGGTGACTTACATTCCATTGAATTTAATTGTATGCATTCTGCCATAACAAATTAATAAAATTCTGTCCAAATATCACTTCTGTCACAAAATATGGAACCTTGAGACTCAGACCTTTCTGACAATATGTGTTTTGTCAAGATTAGAAAAGGTTTTGATCATAAATTATGAAACATGACGATGCCCAAAAGGGGAGGAGCATTAAAAGAACGCAGTGTTTCACTGTAATTAAAATTTGTCAACATTAGATCAGGTGAAGGGATATAATTGTTTTACTGTAAACATACAGTGGCAGTAACAGTTAACAGATTAATGACTTGGTCCTTTTTTATTCCCTAATCAGGCAATGTATCTCAGGAGACACAACTCATAAAATCCCAAATATATCAAATGTTTTAAAAATTCTTGCCTGTTTAAGGGTTAAATATATATAGGCCTATATATATATATATATATAGGCCTAACATTTATTTACATTTTATTATATATTTTTGTGTTTTGTCTTTGTTATATTAGTGGATTTTGTTAAATGTATTTTTATAATATGAAACTCACATTTATATGACATTTTAAGTTCCAGTGCTTTACATTTAAAATAATTTCAGGCCTATTATTGTACTGAATGGATTCATCATAATTCGGTAAATTGAGAGACTGCACTATATTGTTAGGAGCTACAATTTGTCCACCTCCTGTAGGCAATATGATAAAAATCTCCCACCTTCTATCTGAAGCCATGGTGATTCTGAGGAGGAGTGTGTGTGTGTGTGTGTGTGTGAGTGAGGGCGATACAGAGAGAGGGAGAGGGAGATGGAGAGAGAGGACTGCCGTTGAGATTGGACTCTGTCGCGTCTTCATTATTAGTCTAAAATGCTTTAGTACCTTATTAGCGTAGTCTGCCATTCATCTGTGCTGTCAGTCAAAGATCAGTCACGCGGGATAGGCTACGTTAAGTTCAGGTAGGTGAGTCGAATCGCGCGCCGACGTATGAAATCAATTAATTTATTTAGCGCCTTTGGTAGGCTATATTGTGTCTTTTCCCCCCTCTTTTCTTTATTGCACTGCATTAGCAACCCGGGCAAGCAGTAGAGATTTCAGTTAGACTTTGACTGTTGAATACTTGCAGCATTTTCTGTTTTGGATGGACATCATGTGTTAGCGGCAATGACAACAATAACTATAATTATGGCTTTTTTTTTCTTTGACAACAAATAGTAATTAAAAAAGAAAAATGTTAAGAATGAAATATGCTTCTGAACAAAACGCGTTTTGCCAACATATAGCTATCCGTCAAAGAAGACATGTGAATGACCGCACCACGAGTGCTATGGAGAGTATCTTCTTTATGAATGAAACGGGCTGCGGATATGGTGATGCTGAACTCTTAGTTTAGCCTACTCCTGTGTCCATCAATCGGCACCGTGATTATATAAATAAGATATACATGCGTAGCCTACTGTACCGTGGAGATTTCCATTTACACGCGCTTGAGCTTGTGCATATGCAGCATACACATTTTCAATATTTGATAAATGTAGGTGTGTTTGTGCGACAAACGTAAACCAGCACATGCACAGGATCAGTCATCCATTTAGTGGGAAACATAGGCTAGTATATTCATTGTATAATCATGTCACTCTGCATCATTAAAAAGCCTTTTATTAATGGTACTATATGGAGAATTTAGTGTCAAAACGGGCTTAAGATTTGGTTGTGCAACATGAACATTGAGAAAGAGGACCGCGCTCTGCTGACGTCGTATTGGGTGCATAATGCATGATTAGTATAATAATATATCATCGTATAGAGCCAATGCATGACTCTTATGGCAGTCTTGTTGCGGAACATGATGTAGGCTGCGCTCATAATGGAATCTAATGCTGCAATTTATATGGAGACTAATTCGCAGAAGTGCATCAGTTTTTAGTAAGCTATTGCACCAGAGGCAACAATAGGATGCTTGAACGTGCTTAACGAGAAAAGTCGAAACACTTTTCTATGCTTTTATAAGTAACAGAAGTAGTAGCCTATAATAGTAGTGTTTAAATCCATTTGAGACCTCGTCACCTCATCTGGCCAATGGTTTAATGGGATTTAAAGGTGCACCATAGTAATTTTTTGCTAATTAAAAAGTTTTGCACATACTTATCCTAAATGAGCTACATTTGAGAAATGTAATTAAAATCATGTACAATTACATGAGATGACTCAGCCACATCTGATTTCTAGAAAAAGCTGTTATGGGGTCGCTCCTTGTGGATGTCGACATGTTGACATCACATGACCAGTCATGTCATGCAATTGACAAAATTACTCAAATAAACTAAATAAATAAAAGGCCTGCATTTCAGCGAATGGATGTGTAGAATGAAACAAAAATATGAAAAAAAGAATAAAACAAAAGGTGCAAAGCATCAGAAACGTCATGCATGTATAGATGACACTCTGAAGTCCAAAACTGCTACTTTTGGGAAGAATAAGAGGGAAATAATTGCTTAGAATGGCTGCATTTAAGTCCAAATTTTTATGCCCTTCCCTCGCTAACTTCCCTCCGTCTCGTTCACTCGGATGTACATCATTGCTTACGTTGCATGAGTGCCCACTTCTGGTGGAACCCTTGAAATGTGTTTAAATGGAACACTTGCCTTGATCACTTGGAATCCGCTATGGAGCTGCAGTTTGTTTCCTTATGAATTTGTTTTATGCACCATTCTATAGGCCTGTAGGTACGTTTGGGCTGTTAATTTTTTTTAAAATATAAACAAATATTAAATATAAATATATTTAAATTAAATATTAAATATATAAAAAAACACAAACGAAAATAACAATACAATAAACTGAAAAACAGTCACCTTAATGGTAGCTACAACAAGTATTAAATGCGCGGTTAAATGTCAAAATAACGCCAATATCATACACTAGATTTATGTGGAGTGGGGGTAAATTAAGCGCAAACTGCTGTGACGTCACAATCATGGTGCATTGTGGTCTATGGATCTGTCTGAAGTGTATGTTTAGAAGACTCGCTCCCTCTGTCAAAATCGAGGGGTCGAGGGTCTGTCCAAATGAATTTAATAAGCATGCTCATTTGAGATGAACTGATTAATCTAAACCCATACACACGTATAACCCCACCAGTTTAGCCGAGAAAAATGAACAGTTCATTTGAGGTATGGCAACTAATGGAGAAAAAGGTACTAAGCTCCTGGACCAGCCTTAGGCCAAATGCATGTTCAAGTTCTCAGACAGCTATAAATCAATCAAGTTTATTTGTGGAGGACAATCCATACATTTGATTTAGCTCCACACCCTAAGGTCTTGTAATAGTTGAGCATCAGTATTACTATTAAGGTTTTAAGATGCAAGTTGTTTGGCAGTGCGTAGGCTATGAGATGAGACACAAAGATCCTCAAAAACACATCTTATTATCTCAGTATAATGTGCAGTTTGCAGTGATCTTGCATGATCTCATAGTTAATATATCAGACCTTCATGCACTCTGTCCCTCAGCTGCGGCCGCACAGGAGCTTTGCTTTGTGGCGTGGATGCATGCTGGCAGTTTTAAATCCTTTGAATTGGGTCACTGGAAGCACATCCAGCAGGACAGACGAGCTAAAGCGCAATGATTAGCCTCTAAGCCCAGTCCACAGAGGAGCAATCTGTTTGACGGACTGATCGACAAGAGCAAGAGAGATGTTTCTTGCAATGCTGGCACTGGCAGGGACACAGTAAAACTGCAGAACACTCATGGTAAGGTAAAATGTAACAGAGTGATTAGCCAGTCAGCTGAAGCAGTTACGTATAGTAATTTGTTCTGAGTTCATAAGGGTTAGTGTTACAATATGGTGTCAGGCATATTGTTAACTTATTACTTTTAAATTATTTTAAAGATTTTTATTTTTTTTACTCTCTTTGCCGTCTTGTGCAGCACTGTTTTTTTTTTTGCATTAATGTCCTTTAGTATTATTGTAAGGATGTATTTAAAGGTAGAGTTCACCCAACATTTTTATTTCTGTCATCATTTCATTTAATCATCCTCATTTCATTCCAAACTGTTACTTTTTTTTTCTGTGGAATAAAACATTTTGGTCCACTATTTTGAACTCCATTGACTTTTATTGTATGAACAAAAGGAGTGGATACATTTTTTTTTAATGATGACAGAATTTTAATGTTTAAGTGCACTATCCCTTTAAGATGGGTTTTGGAATCTCGCATGTCATTAAAATATGTTGGTTTTTTTAAAGTTAATTTTGCTGTCAGGATATGCATCAATGATTTAGACATAATTGGAAATGTTTAGCATTGAATATTCTTATGCTAGTTTGTTTAATAGAATCTGATAGGCCCTACTGATTTCTGCAAGGCGAGTGTTATTTAGTCTGGCCAGTATTTATTTACAACACTGTTTTTTATCAAGCATTTTCTCATGCCCCTGCACAGCTGAATGAATGAGACTGGGCTAATCCAGCAACATTTGGCGCAGAGAAATGGCAGATGGTGTATGGGGTATTTTTAGGCCGTAGCCCTGCTTCCCCAAAGAGTCCGAATTTCTAGCTGCTGTAATACACAAACACACATTATGTGGCATAAAGACCCATAGATTTTAAAGGGATAGATCACCCAAAAGTGAAAATGCTGTTTCAAACCTGTATGACTTTCTTTCTTCTGTGGAACTCAAAGGTAGATATTCTGAAAGAAAGAAAAAGTCTTACAGGTTTGGATGAATGAAAAGTATTACAACAAGAGGACGAATGAATGATAACAGAATGTTCATTTTTGGGTGATTTGTCACAAAATTATTTTTCTTCAGTTTTCTAAAATGAATTTCTTCATTTTGCAATGCATCTGAATACTATATCTGAACAACAACCAAAAGAAACACTCATTGATCTGTTTTTCCTCCTTGATTGACTTGGTCATTGTTTAGAAATTGTAGTTTTGATCACAGTTGCAAAAAGCATGCGCTTTTATTTTCACCACAAGAAAAAGATAATGACATAATACTAAATCATGTATTTCATGGAACCTTGGATATTTTTCTGTTTCCTAATCAGAAAAATATTTATCTTTTTGTCGATGCTTTTAGTAACAAACACTTTTACCCAAGTTTGATTTCCCAGAGCACTGAGAGATCTGACCATCAGCCCAGTTGTCTTCTCAGCCCAGTGAACATGTGAACAGTAATGTGTGCATGCATATGCCTCTCCATCTCCTGTTAGTATCTTTATATGCAGTAAAGTGAGGCATATCTGATTCCCACAGAATGAGAGTCAATTCTGAATCGAAAATCCTTTTTTCTTCAATGGAATATTGGTATTCATGCAGATATGCAATAGAAACCTCCATTTATGGCAGAGTGAAAGCCTGGTTTGACTGATAAAGAGAAAGCAGCTCTTTACAGTATATTATGCGGCAAAGCTTCTCACTCAGATTAGAGCAGAATCTGGCTAATGGACTCGGCTTGATGGGCATCCCGTGGAATCCAGTGCAGTTGTCTATCTATCTATCTTATCTGTCTATCTATCTATCTATCTATCTATCTATCTATCTATCTATCTATCTATCTATCTATCTATCTATCTATCTATCTGTCTATCTGTCTATCTGTCTGTCTATCTTTCGAAATTTTCTTAACATTCTCTAAATTGTTTACTGGGAAATATTCAGTGGTTGATTGGTAAGCTTGTAATTTAAGAAGTAATGTAAGATTGCCATTTCAAAAACTTAACTTTCAGTTAGGTTTTTCTCAAAATTTTAGAAATTTAATTCAAAATTCCTGCTTGCTTCAAATTCAAATTGAATTAAAATTCAGGCATTATCAGTCCGCATAACTGTCATCAATTAAGAAAGATGCTGGTGTCAGTAATGAGGCCATGTTTACCAGCTTGCCCAGACCAAATGTGAGTTTAGTAAACTAGCGCCTAGATAACATTTAGTTAACATTATCTAGTAAGGCCTATGGGATAACAGCAGAAAGGGAAAGTCAGTCAAAAGAACAGCAAGTTAATACATTTTGCTTCAAGACTGTGAATAACTTTTAGTTTCTTTGGAATAGCATGCACCAATGATTCACAATAAAATCAGAAAAACAGAGTAATTTGTCTGTATACTATTGTTTCCAACTCCATTTTCTATGCACATCACTGTGTGGAACCACCAGCACTGAGCCCACACTTCCATTTACTGTGATTGTTTAAGAGTGTGTGGCATGATGCCCGTGTGCTATTCAGCAAACATTACCTTTCGAATTCTAATGTCTAAGTGATATATTCCACAATTCACTTCAGTAAAAGCAAGGTCATTCCCAAATCCGGTGGCATCAGCACATTCCTGCAAGAGTGCTTGGGATACCTTGAATGAGGCACATGCATTATAATCTCTCCTCGTGCCAAACTTAATTTATAATAGAGTTTGGCTGAATAGCGAAGCGCTGTAAGAGCATTAATAAGCTCGGCGGCTCTCCGGTCCTTCCGCGAAGGACTTAGAATAGATAACACAGCACTCCGAGTGAGATTGACATCAATCACAGCGCAGAAACAAGCCTGACACCTTAAGAGAGGCGGGAGGCGAGCACCAGCCTGTCAGAGGTCTGAAATCCGCAGACACCAGCATTGATCAAAGGCTCAGTGTCCTCTGCTCATTGATTTGACAGCACACGGGGTGTTAGAGAGGGGGAGATGCAGGGCTTCTCTCAGATGAGAGCTTGACTGCTGTTGGGATTGCTGCACCCTGCCAAGCATGTTTGCTGCATTTAAGCCCTGACTGTAAGTAGCCTGGTGTCATAATGCTGGATGAAAATATGAAGAATAAAGGCAACCGGCTTTGAGAAGCATTTCCACCCCCCCCAACATTTACAGTCAGTCTCACTTCCACTGTAACTTTACGTTTTTTAAATTCACTTTGGCACACATTTCAGAACCTTGAAGTCATTTGTCAAAACTCTAGACACAAAACTCAAAATAATCATCACTTATAGGCTGTCCAATGTTCAAAACATTGCATTGTGCATTCATATCTTTAACTTTGCAGAATGATTGGTTTAAATATCTCATTAAATGGACTTTACAATTTTGTACAATCACTATGACAGATTTCTCAATACTTACGTCACTTTTTTTAAAAACTCTTTACACAGTTTTCTATACCAATTTGCATTTAGCAAATTTCACATGCTAAATGCACTTACAATTACCAAAATTCTTCATACATGTCAAGTCATTCATCTTCCATAACATTAGCAAAGGTTGTCACCCAACAAACACACTTTGTCACTCATAAAACAATGGCCTAAACACTATATCAACAGGTCGCAGGGTCTTGAGACGTGTTTTAAAAAAAAACAATCGCTAGGGCACATTTATCAATATTTAGGTTACTTTTTCAAAACTCTTCACACAGTTCTTCTAACCCTAACTTTCAAATTGGCAGAGCAGTTAGATTCACTTTCAAAATGCAATAAAACTACCAAAACACTTTATACAAGTCTAAAATCAAGCCATTCTTCCACATCACTAGCAACGGTTGTTATCCAACAAACACGCTCTGTCACTCATAAAACAAAATCCTAAAAAACAAAACCCACTAACAACAGGTAGCATTACACAGTTTTTTCTGTTGTAAAATTACTTTACACAACAAGAATGGCACTCTGTTTAGAATTCATCATACAGTAATGCCAAAAATGAAAATATTGTGTGGAAATGTTGTACATGATGGGACCATAGAAAGTTTCTGATAAAAGAATAACGAGGAACCATCCATAGATAATGTATTACAATTGGTTCATGTTATATGGTAAGTGGTATTAATGGATCTTGTTATCCTGAAACATTCATGATCTAAACGTGGACAATTGTTTCTCAGTTTCTATTAAACTGCATTAACAATAATGCAACCGTATCATATTGATCAGTTCACAGTTAGATCTTCATAATGAATATAAAGTCATCTCAGATGTACAGTATGTGATTTTGAAAAGTATTGCATTTTGAAATGGTAATATTTTGATGTTATGTCGTGTCATTTGAACAGGTAATCTTAGTTCAATGAACAAATTAACTTTGCATTCAAGCAATTGAAAAAAGTGTTTTATTTTGAAAAAAATTGCGTGTTGTGAGTTTTGTGTTTAGAGCTTTGAAAAATCACATCAAGGTTCTGATATTAGTGCCACAGCGATTGGTAAAATCCCTTGTCAAGAAGCCCTCCACCACAGATGTCTGACCCTATAATGTCTTCCACATATCATGCCAGTTTCACATGAATAGTCTGATGCACATTCCAGGTTAATCTGTACTTTTTGATGGAGTCCAGCTGAAATCTGGACTGAAGTGTGGTAGTTTCATTGAAGTTGCCTCAGTATCCCTCGTCTGCTAGTGTGAAATTGAGGTATTGATTACTGAGGATAAAATCGGTGTGAACTTAAAGCCTGGAAATTGTGTTCTTGCTTGCTTCTGCATAATCTTTACACGATTCGATGTGTGTTCTGTGTTTGTGGTTCTTCGACACTGATGGATATGGTCTGTGTCTTGGGTAAATTATTCATGAGAACATTAAATTGCACATATAAAAGCTAATTTAAAAAAAATCTAAAACCCTTTTTGCACTCAGACAGATAGTGCCACCATCTGAATGATGGTGTCCTCAGGAGCAGAAAACTGTTTAGAATTATTGTTTTGGCTCTAGGCAATAAATAATGCACTGTTATAAACTGCAGTGAAAGCAAGAGAGTGTCTAAGGGCAGAACACATACATTATGATGAGTTGCATTGTGATGGATGACAAGGCTCATGTCTCTTTCTTCAGAAAAGCCACTCGAGTCCTGTCTAGAAGTAAAACATCCCTAAATGTGCTTGTCATACCTGTAAGTTTGATGAATAAATAAAGATAAATACCCAGTAAATAAATTATGATCATGTTAAATGTTTAAAGCATGATAGATTTAAACGGTGTGTCCTAAATATGCGTTATGTGTTTCCAGTCACTAGCAATTATTCTGTATACTGAACACGCTGTGACGTGATACATTCACAGCCTATCAGAATAAATGTGATGTATAGTATGACGTTTGATTTTTAGGAGTGAGGTTTCATAGCGGGGATGGTTACTCATCGTCAGAAATATAAACAACTGACAAAATGTTGGGTGATTTGTGAACAATTTAGCTTTTATTTCGTGTCCTTCTGACCCTGGCCTCTGATTAGTCAATACAATTGTCTGCGTGTCATACCTAAGGCATTCCTGCAATACCGGAGACTGCAGTTTCAGGACCGCATTTCTAGGACCCTATTAAAAAAAAGAATTATGGATTAGAAGTTTATACTAGCCCTTACTATTCAATTCCGCATACATTTGATTATTTTTAAAGGAAGGACTTAGTTGTTTAATTGTACCTATAGAGTTAAAAACCTTGTTGTATTTTTGTGTGGTTAATAAAAAGAAGGTACATCACCATCTTACTCTGACGAAAGTGACTTGAACCTGAAGTGTGCATATATGATGGACACTTTACTATCGAGGCCACGGGAGAGGATTTATGAATGGCAGTGAAGCGACGCAACTGATGTTGTACGTCCAGATTATATTCATATTACACACATTCATAGAACGTACTTTTTTTAGCCGTTGTGAAGTAATTGCTTATTCAAAATAAGTATGCTCAAGAGATTATGTGATTTCAGATACAGCCTCTCTCTGTTTGAAAATATCACAGAAGAAGGTCATCCGGGCACTTTTTACTCTTTTTTTTACTAAGTACTGTGAATTCGGACATGTCACATACTGTTTTTTGTCTACTATATAGTAAGGAAGTATATGCGATTTCGGATGCAGCCATAGTATTTTACAACGTGATTTTAGAGGCCGGAGCCAAAAAATCACGAAATTTGTTTGTAGGGTTTTCAAAATCAGCATATTCACTTATGATATTAAATAAATAGCTGTTTTTGTTTTTTAGGACAAGATCCTATTTGGTGGTCCTTGGCATCAAAAAGTTTGAGAACCCAGGCTATTCAATACGCAATCATCTAAACGTTTCTTTTTCTCTCTATTAGGTCTAAAAAGCGAGCGGCTCAATTGAAAGCTCAAGATGCCCGAGCAGAGCAACGACTACCGTGTGGTGGTGTTTGGAGCAGGGGGTGTGGGGAAGAGCTCACTGGTGCTCCGTTTTGTCAAAGGCACTTTCCGGGACACCTACATCCCGACGGTGGAGGACACGTATCGGCAGGTGATCAGCTGTGACAAAAGCGTCTGCACCCTGCAGATCACAGACACAACTGGCAGCCACCAGTTCCCTGCCATGCAGCGTCTGTCCATCTCCAAGGGTCACGCCTTCATCCTGGTCTACTCCATCACTAGTAAGCAGTCCCTGGAAGAATTAAAGCCCATATACCAGCAGGTTCTCGCTATCAAAGGCAACGTAGAGACCATCCCAATCATGCTCGTGGGGAACAAGAGTGACGAGACTCAACGGGAAGTCAAGACCGAGGATGGAGAGGCCCAGTCCAAGACCTGGAAGTGTGCTTTCATGGAGACCTCGGCTAAGACTAACCACAATGTCACTGAGCTGTTCCAGGAGCTTCTCAACTTGGAGAAGAAGAGGAACATGAGTTTGAACATCGATGGCAAGCGTTCTGGGAAGCAAAGCAGGGCTGACAAGCTGAAAGGGAAATGCAGCATCATGTAGACCGCTTGTTAGAGGCAGAACCGGAACTTAGTGAGATAAAGCGGAGCGGTAGAGTGATAAAATGACAAAGGAAAGGAACTGAGAGAGGAGAGAAAAATGAATGGAGATGGTGTTATTTGACATTTCATGCTTATTTCCGATAACAAGGATTTCACTCTGACTTCATAGATTTCATCCTTCACCATCAGTCTTTGGCCTTAACAAGCCCTATCTCATTCATATTGCCTTGTCTATTTCTATTGTTTTACAGAGCATCACCACTATCTCTCACATCTAAAAATATCCAGACAGCAATCGATTGCAACAGCCCTTTTCAGTTCACGTTGCACATATTTTTATTGAATGGTTGCAGCTGCATTGCTAAAGCAGATACAGACTTTATATTTACATGTTATCCAAACATAAGACTTTGTGTAACTCGTCAGATTGAGGAAATAAGGTCAGTATTTAACAATAATAGTCAAACCAACCATTAATCCTTTGTTTCAGATTGGGTAGAATCCACTTTTATTTGTTATGCTCATAACATTTTGATGATTACTTTTACATGTCCTCATATCTTAAATAATACCAATCAATATTCAAGACAATCATTTTGTTAAACATGAGCCAGAGAAAATGTTTGATGCTTTATAAAATGATTACCTTCAGTGACATCAAGGTAGTTCTAAAATCTGAAAGCATAGACACTTTACTTTTCATGCAGATGCACTCATGCTTATGTAAAGCAGCAAGCACTCATCATCATCTTCATCATCATTATCATTATCTCTGGGATTCAGCTGCTCAAAATGTAGACACGTATGGCTTCCCCACTAGTTTAGAGTGAGCCAGAATCTCCCTCTTATTTTTCTCAAGATGAACTGCTCATATTTTCAAGTATAATTGAGACAATAACAAATGTAGCTCTCTTAAAATCAATCAGGAAATGAATGCATTTGGAGGAGGTGTGTTTTGGCAGCAAAACTAAATTGTGGCTTTCCTAACACAAGCAAGTCTTCTCACCCAATTTATCAGAGACTATGTGAACATTGAAGTGTAGATATAATATGGAGTGTTATGTGAGTTAAAAAAGGTTTACGATAAAGAAGCATTTATTGTTCAAACATTTTAACTGTTTTTCCAGAATGAATCATTTTATTCACATCAGTATCAGACATTACAGGAGCTTTTGGCTCGAAACAAATACCGCCAACCTGTTTCATGTCTCAGTAAGAGAATGCAATCACCCTGCAAATCAGCCTTAGACAAAAGAAACTTTTGAGTTCAAAAAGGGCCTTGATTGTATAGCATTTTATTTTTATTTAACCAGCTGATTGCCTTGTACAAATGATGCGCTAAAGAGCCCCTTTAATATGTTTTCAGGTTGTGCATTAAAGGCAGTCAACGTTATTTTATCCATGTTATGCTATTTAAAAAGTTTTTGAACAGGGTTCACCAGAAGTGTGTAGATGTTTATTTTGTTTGAACTATCCTGTAAATAAAGCATTTTGAATGACACCTGCTATTATAATAACAACAACCATGTATGAGCTTATTAATAATAAGTATATATCAAACATTATATGCACCTAACTAAATTCAAATTTGAATGATATCTACTGATATACTGTGACATGCATTGCAAGAACTGAAAACATAATTCACATATAGTTTCCGGTTTACTGTCAGCTAATATTACGACAGCTTGTTGCCTCTGACTGATGTATATGATAAATAGTTTAATATTAGTTCCCTGGATGCCCCACCAACACATTCATCCCTTAAAAATGGTGCTATAATTTACCACCTCCCTACTGGTGACAGTAGTTCTGCTTTGCATGGTTTATAGAGTCATAAATCCCTCTTTATCACTTTGCAGAGTTTTGCTGATTTTTCTAAATTAGGGACAACGCCTCATCCATCTTGTGTTTGAAGTTTAGACTGTATTCAGATCCATTGTAACCGAATCTGTGAGTCCAATCTCTATAAAGCCCACTCAGCTGGTGCATGAGTCACACTGCTGATGCCATTAGAGGCACTGCAAGCTGCACGAGAGGAAAACTGCAGAGCTTCTTGCATTTTACATGCACGGGAAGTCTGCGCTCCCTGAAGAGTGTCATCTACCTGCGATCCTCTTGGTTGGCTTGACAACATGGATTTGCCCCCGCAATGCCAATGCCCACCAGTTCTGTGTATGAAATCAGTTTGTGAACCACATTTTATCATGCACTTTTTATTGTAAATACTTTTAAATTGTATGTAAAGAATATAACACTACATGTAAAGACATGAGCCATGGACACAATTCCTTTTAAAGCTCTTCAATCACTGTTGTGTTTGGCTGGAATCCCAGGGGACTATCTGTACATCTATCTGGATTCTCATTCATGCATAGTTGCTATAAATCTGGTTTACACAGTGAGCACTTTAAATGCCTAAGGGTAATGGAATGTACTGTGAAACGTATGTAAATGTTGACCTCCATTTCATAATCCAGACTCCGCATGGTCCCACTTGATGTTAGCCAGCATGAGGGCAAGCTACAAAACTGTGAAGTGACTTTTCAACTTAAATCCTCTGCATTTTTTTTTTTTTTTTTTTTTTTTTTACAATATTTTACAAAAGTTCTTTTTGATTATAGCTATTAGCAACTATGATATGTCCTAGCAATAGTCTTCCATGGTATGCTGTGCTCACGCATCCCAAATGAAGGAAAATACTGTGTACATATACTAATATGTGTGTAGATATATACCTGCAAATATTCTCTAATAAATCTGCAAATTGATTTTCATAATAAAAACAATTAAAGCAAATATTGTTTCCCTCTTTCAAAACATCTGATTGTAACCCCTGTGCTAAACCTGGTTTCCATGGCAACATCACAGCTGACCCAGGTGTGGATGCTCAGATACACAAATGATGGAATTTACAAAGCAGTGATGCTTAAAGGCACATTCAGTAAAGCCTCAACTGTGCTGCATGCAGTCAAGGATTGTATGGGACAAAGAAGACTGAATAGTCTGAAAGTGTCCTATATGACTAAGTGCTGCAGAAGGGCGTGAAATGCATGCTATAAGGCAAAAGTTGGCTAATTAAGGAAACTAAAATGATTCTTATAATCAATCAATAGGTTCCAAAAGTCCAATGCTTTCAAGAAGTATATATTATAATATATATTGTTATAACAACATATAATTTTATATGATCTATTTAATAGAATTAAAAGAGCAGTTTCATGTCTATCCTTGGGTTGATATTGTATTTAATTACTACAATTATCATTGTTATCATATATATATATATATATATATACACACACACACTATATATAAATTATATATATATATATATATATATATATATATATATATATATAAATCCAATATTGTTTTATATAGAATTATTATAGTCTATACAGTATTTAATGCAATTATACATCAGAAGTAACAAATTAAATTACAGAACAAATAAGAGTAATCCCTTACTTTACTGTTTCAAGGGAAAAGTAATTTAAAAAACGGTTATAATTTAATAATTAATATATGGCATGACAATCCAAGGTGAAGGGGAAAAACACATAAGCAACAAGCCGTCTTATAGCCTTGGGTGCAAATATTAATGTCAAATGTAAACTGTGTAAATGTCAAATGTAAAAAGTTGCCAATTTCTTTCCGATTCTACAGATTTGAATGATCTACTGCCTTTGTATCTCACGCAGGCAACCTGAGGGAGAGAGGAGAAACATGGCAAGTAGAATCAAGAGCTTCACTATGATGTTTTGAGAATCAAACCAGCTGCACAAAACAACGGCTGCCAGGGAACCTGCATGAATCAACTCTCATGACTGTGATCCACTGCTTCATTCTCTTTTCTCTCTCTCTCTCTCTCTTTGCCCCCCGCCTCCCAACAACTGCACCACCTCATTCCTTTCTCAGCAGTATTGCAGTTTCCATGCAGACTGTTAGATGGACCGCTGCTTTCTGAGAGAGAGAGAGGAGAGAGAACTGCTCTCTTCAAAGCATAAGAAAATGATAGAAAATATACTGCCATCAGCAAAATTTCATGTTCCAGAGGACACAATGCAATAAAGTATCTTCCATCCCCATTTACATCCAACTGTAAAAATACAGCAATTATCCTGTGCCAAGTCAAATGTTAGCACAAGTCATTTGGGACCTTTGAGAATCAAAGGCACAATGAGAATCCTGGGGATCCTAAGGGAGGCTGTGAAGTGAAGCAGAAAGAAAAGACAAATCGTCCGCACAGTCCTTGAATAAAACAGTAGAGTGTCTCAAAGCAAACAGATAAAGGTAAACATCTTTAACATTTACGAGCACAAAACTCAGGTGGATACATGGGTCAGTTTTTATGTATTTCATAATTTATAAAGGCCTAAAATAGATTTAGTTTGATGGCTTAGTAAACAGGTAACCACAAACTCAAACCTGCTTCCTATTGGACAGTGAATGTAAATGCAACTCCCATTGGACACTATTTCAATATTCTGTGCTTAAAAGGGTATTATGTTAGATTAACAGTCCACTACGCGATTAGCTGCCTTTAATAATGTCTTTTGAACTGCCACAGGGTACAGTCTCTTAAACTGTCCTGACTGCATTTTAAAACCTTTGAAAGACTTCGGATGGGAACCGTATATAGGGCTTTTTTATTAAGGCTGGCTCACTCTGATCAAGTGCCAAATTTGCCTGGAGGTGCAGATCCACCTACAGTAACCTATATCTAACACATATAGAGCTTATTCAAGAAAGCAGAACACATCCCACTGAAGCCTGTATTTGCAGATGTGTACACAACAATAATACCAATGGAATAGCAATTTGCAAGGGAACTCTTGAGAGTTTTTTAAAAGGGATAGTTTACCAAAAATGAACATGTTGTCATCATTTATTCAGCCTCATGTCATTCCAAATCTTACTTTTCTGTGGAACATTAAAAATAACATATTTTGAGAAATGTCGTGTCAGTGTTTTTGTCCATACAATGGTCGTCAGTGGTAACTAAAACGGTTTGGTTACCGACATTCTTCAAAATATCTTCTTTTATTCCACAGAAGAAAGAAAGTCATAGAGGTTTGGAATGAAATGAGGGTTAGTAAATGATGACAGAATTTACAATTTTGGGTGAACTATCTCTTTATTATACTATGCCACCAAGTGCTATTTCTTTTAGTAGGCCTATCTTTGTTTATGTAAACTTACTATCCAATAGTATCATTTTCAATTTTACAAGTAACTACAAAGATAATTAGGCTAGCCTACTAGTAGGCTAGGCTAGTTATTCCAATAGCAACATTTCTGATATATATATATCGCTAGCTAGGCTACTAATCAAATAAAGATGGAATAAATATTAGAAACTTAAATAATCAACTAAACAGTTACAAGTAGTACTGAAAATAGGTACCAGCAATGATTGAAATCAATACACATTCAAACAATTTTGAATACAAACAATGGAATAATGAAATATATTGAAATAATAAAATAATAATGAAATATCGTCGTTTTTCCATGTGTGAACAGAGTTTGTACACTAGCGCCCTCTTGGGCCAGTAGGCGTTACTGCATACTGCGGTGGAAGACTGTAACGAGTTCGGTGCGCCCAAATGTGTAGGCTAATGAAGACTGGGTCGATGAACCGCTGCGTAAAGTGTACTTCTTAAACCGCTCGGCAGCTCAAAACCCCCCAAAATCCAATCGAGCAGCGAAACAGTTCACCGACGGACGCAACCAAACCCGTAGGCACCCGATGAGGGTGGAGAGGGCAGAGCTGGCGAAACTGATTGGTTTTCGATTTTAACGGAGAGCCGCCTTATTTGACTCAGAACCGACTCAGGTTTTTCCCAGGAGAGAAAAGCAAGTTTGTGTGCGAGAACGCTGTCACCGGTGGTGGGGGGACTGACTGGGTGGACACTGGTGCACGGAGGGGGTGGTGTTTGTTTGGAAGGGGGGGTAACAATCTGCGCGAACCTGGCCCTTTAAATTACCTCCACAATCACTGTAGACGAGGTGAGTATACAACAAGCTCTTATTTTCTTCCTTGCTTCATTTCCTTCAGGTTTGTTATCGAGCATCCGTTTGCTTACCTAAACGCCTGTGTTTTTCAACGCGTTTGCGTTATAGGCAGGGCGCGCGGCGCGGCGCTCCACTCCACCGGTGTCACGAATCCGAAACCGCTTGAATTTTCTGAGCGTTGTCCGGTGGGGTGGGGAGTGGGCTTCGCATCAATAATATTTAGTAGACGGTGCATGTTATATGTCTGCTTTAAAAAACTGCGAGGGCAAGATTGGCATTTGGGTGTTTGCGTGAATCAATCTTTGCACTCTGGCTCAAACTAAAGCTTTACAGGCGAGAAGAAGCTTTCCTGCGCCTCCTGTCAACACCTTTACGCCTTACATATTCTCTAATTCTGTGGCAGATATTTGCAGCGCCGGGTCATTATAGGTTTGTACATTGTATACATCGTTTGAAGGAGTCTTCAGAGCTATAGGAAAGGAGGCGTACATTGTGTACCGTTTGTCAAAATGCCCGCATTGTCTTCCCATCAGTGTGAGCAAGGCCTACCAACAGCAACAGAGCTCTGGAGCAAAATGCTGTGCGTTATGGCAGATATGCAACTGCCTTCACTTCTGCATCGTTTTGGGCTCATTTAATGTGACGATGTCATGATAAAATATTGGCTGAATGCAGTTCTACTGTTCTGGACTTTACATAAAACCCCAGAAACCGCTGAGCAGCACCAGCCATAGCTCCACAGGCCTGCTTTTCCTTATTTCCATGCTGTAGTTCACTTATAAGGTTCTGCATAATTTAATAGTTTGCTTTCTATAGCACTTTTCCCCAAACATCTCGTTCATATAGCTGTACAGAATATCATCTCACTGTGGCAAGAGAACAAAAAACTCCATAAGATGTTTAGGTGAACGGGGAGGTTGGACCTTGAGAAGAACCAGACTCAGCTGGGGGAGCCCATCCTCCTCTGGCAAGTCTAATACAATATATGTGCATATGTCAAATATGATTTAGGTACATACTGTGGTTATGGTTATTACTGGTCATGTTTGATCACATTTAGATAACTTAAAGATAATGAATAATTTATAGGCAGTGGTCAGGGAAGCATCTCTAATAATACAATATAATATTATGCATTTTATTTTATTGTTTTATTAAAGATGCTTAAAATACATAAATATGATCATACATTGTATAAGTTTGTGCTTGTACCTAATGAAAAATAGTATTTTACATTCAACACTTCTCAACTGGTCTAATGTTCATTTTGTGCTGCGTGGCAAGAAATTTTATTTTTGTTGTCACAGTTCTCCTTTATAGGGAAACCTCAGAGTGGGTTTAAATGTTCCCCTCAAACCGAAAGGGCAAGTAGATTCATCATTCAACAGATTAAGTATTTGATTTGCTCTGGTCAATGCAATGGAATGTATCGCTCCTGTTTGCTTATTATAGAAAATGACCTCATGGTGAGCTATTATCAGGATTTTGGCAATATTACCATACTGAGCCACAGAATTCACAGTGTGCTAGTACACAGTGCACTTGGCCTGGTTAAATTCACTACAAAGTCCAGTCTTATCAATGTATCTAATGCTCTCCTGACAGATGCTAAATGTATTTCAGGGCGGTTATATGTCACATTGTCTAAGTGCAGGTGCATGTTCCACCTCCCCCTCCTTTGTATGTACAAAACATAATAATATAAAGGCACATGCCCGTATTGGTTTTGTTTTCATTCGGAACTCATGCTTTATAAAAGAACGGTTATTTGATCTGATAAAGTTTTCTGATAATGTGCAGAATGTGTGTATGTACTGTACGTGAATGTATGTATATATATATATATATATATATATATATATATATACAGTATACACACATTATCAGAAAAAAAAATGTTTAGTGTATATATTGATTGTATTACCAGACACACGAAGTCTTTAAAATCAATTAGCTCAAGCTAATCAGATGGCTTGAAGCGACCTATATTTTCCCAGTATGAAGTCTTCCAGGGACATGAATATAATTACAGCTGGACCTGGCCTGCTACTGTGCACTAATTACAGAACCGGCTCACTCACTTATTCCACATGAACCCTAATTAAAACATACATTTCTGTTAGACAGTAGATACATTTTCTGTGTACAGTAACAGATGGTTAGTGAAATGCAGTCAACTGGTCCAACTGGTCCAGCCACTTTGTTTTGTTTGGCTAGGATCATACTCAGAGCTCCACTGAATGAGATGAGATTAATAATTCATAGGTTTTGATTTTGCCGCTTCACATCTCTCTCTCTCTCTCTCTCTTTCTACTCTGGTTTGCCTGGTTGGAAATATTTGTTTTGACAACATGAATAATGGTTATAGCTGGAACGCACATTATTTCACCATCTCGTGTACAACTTTGAAACTGTATGATGAAAGTGCGGCCAGTTATGATTAGACTATAAATATGTTGGGTTATTTTATTTTTAATGCAGTATTGCATATTCATAGGATTGATTTATTATGAAATGTTTAACTATTAATACAAAGGTCCCTTAGACTAGTACATACTTTTAGTGTGGAATACGTTTTATTTTATTTTATTTGTTTATTTATTTTTGGTCATAATGCCATAGTGATGTAATTTAAGTCAAGGATATTCAAACTTTAATTGGCGTTAATAGTTGCAAAGAACAAGAGGATTATAAAGTAAAGGTTATGTGTAAAATGATACTGTGTAAGCCAAGGTGTACCAGTTCACAGTCAGTAACCCATTTGAAAATAAGGGTAGAATTTACAGTATGTTTACACTTGCTTAGATAAAGCCTGTCTGAGCATGTTTCTGTGTCATGATTAGAGAGGGATAAAAACAAAACCTTGCAGTCGGTGGTGGGGCAGATTAATTCTGCATGGCTACTAAAAGCAGATTAAAATTGAAATAAATCTGCTAATTCTGACCTAATCTGTATTATATAAATAAAGTATATTAGTGGCCTTGCATCGGGACACTGCCCTCTAGTGAATCAAATAGAACATTTTTAGTTCATTTTTTAACATATTAATGAACAAGTGTTTATGAATTATGATATTGTTTTACGTTTTTTTGCTATGGTTGTGTGTACGTGTTGATGTATTGTTTGTAATGTGCTTTTTTAAAAACCTTTTTTGTTCCTTACTATATCTCACTTTTTAATTGCAATATATCAGTTGTAGCAATACCTACTTTTATTCACAGATCACATTTTAATAGGGAGTAAGATTATGTAGGGAGGGACCACTCAAATAGATGGTCAAATGGGTAAATAACATGTTACATGAATATTTTCTGGTTCCAATAAATGATATGTGTATTGTGTTTGTGTTTTCTAGACAAGCAAACTTACCTGCAAGTACCTGAGCCAGCTTTGGTCTACAGCCTCTCCATCATCCAGGTAAGACAAATTCCAAATAAAAGTTATACTGATCTAACTAAGAATGCAGATACAGGTTATGTTTGTACTTAGTTGACAGGGAATTTTATATATTGGCATACAGGTAATCTGATGCAGCTTGACCACATGGGGGTGTCAATGTAACACTATTTAACTGATTCATGCATATACTCTCTGCAGCCTACAATGAGCTGTGTCCATAGCAACCACCCAGTCCACACAGTTCAGTTTTGATAATAGAGATAGATGAGGGCTCATTGTGGTTCAGTGCTGATATATAGACAGTTCATGTGTACATGCTTCTAAATTGCATATTGCTTGTCATTGACATGTTGTTTGCACATTTGATAAAAGATAGGAATTTGTTATTATGTATGATCAAACAATGAAAGGAGAGCTACAATCATTTTGAATTTGCATTGTTAACCATACTTCAACTGCATTTTTTTGTATGTATAGCTACACGTTTTTGTTTGTAGAATCAGGGTACATTTACACGACACTAGGCACGTTTCCATTACAGATTTGCGCAAAACTTTTGCGATGTTTTTTTTTCTTCCTTCTAAATATCGATAAAAAACGATTGCGAAATGACGGCGTTTCCATTAACCGATGTTATGCGACTAAAGTCATTCCGACTAATGAAGTCGCGACACTTCCTCTCGCGATAAGTCATTCCAAAAATCATGGCAACGGACGTTGGTAGGTTTATATATAATTAAAGAGCCACCGCACTAGACATTATTATTATTATTATTAAAGGAAGGAGACATGGCGTGTTATCCATGCATTAATAGTAAGGAAAGACCCTTATACTGTGAACGCCACATATGAGGTGTTTCTCCCTCATTTCTGCTCCGAGGTCTTGATTGTGGCATTTCTTTGAGGTTTAGAATCCAGTATTCCTGTAATTCTTTTTTCTTTTATGAATTTAATATAGAACTCTGTCTCGTAATTCTGTCCAAACACACCGCGCCTTCTAAGTCAGGTGACTGTAAATGCGCAAAAAACAGTTTCCATTGCAGTTTTGCGAAATATTCCTTTTTCGAAATGCCTGAAAAACCACCTAATGGGAGCGTAAAAACTTTTTTTGCGATAAACGGGAGTTTTTGCGAAATTGACATGTTTCCATTGTGCGTATTTTCAATTCGCAATTTCAATTTGCGCAATTTGAAGGGTAATGGAAACGCGGTTATTGACGTGTTTCCATTGTGCGTATTTTCAATTCGCAATTTCAACTTGCGCAATTTGAAGGGTAATGGAAACGCGGCTAATGATGTACTAAAAACAGAAACGTTTTTCCTTTGTTTTTTTGCGTAAAGATGACACTGTTGTCAAAACGATCCCCATTCACATCGATCCACAAAAATGACTGAAAATGCTGTATTATTCGTGCCAGGCCAGTAGATGGCGATGTCACTTAAAAAGTTTCGCTGTCGTGTAAATGCCTCCTCAGAATTCTTTTATTGCTATCATGCACATTAATGATTACCAGTCAACGGTTTTCCTTAGGTTTTATTTGTTTTGGAATACGGAAATAGGCCATAAAACGAACCACTGTAGCAGATGGTTTCTAAAATAGACTTAGAAACAACGAATATTGTGTATACTTGATTCTACTCCATGAGTGTGACACTTGTAGTACGGTTGGCTTGGTTTGTTTGGTCTGGACCAAAAAAAAAAACATTTAGTCCTGGTCCGCGTTCAGATTGCCATTTTTATCGCCGAACCTAAAGGCATAGGGATACAATCACAACCTGATTGGTCGGCTTTTATAACGTATTGCCTATTTCAAGACAGAACTTACCAAACATCCAAAACCATGCTGTGTGCTTGTTGTATGTGCATAGTCCACATAAGATGGCATTTTGACCAGCTGAGAATTCGGGAAGAGTTTATAAAATGTATGTAGAAGTTGGGTAAAGAGTATAGCGGTGAATGAGAGACAACACTAAATATATTTTTGGGTTCTAATTTGCTCAAATAGCAAAAGAAAAACTTTTATATATTTATAAAAAAAAATAGAGAGAGATTGATAACAGTAGTTAGAAGAAAGATAGCAACTTTACACAGCCTCTGTAAACATCTACACAGCAGCAGCATTAACTAGTTTTTTTTTATAATTTGATGCAAAGGTAATATAATACAAAGTATAGTGTTACAAATGCACATACATTTAAAAAACAAAAACAAATTAAATCTTTGCAGAATTTACGATGCTGATGACAGTTAAAACGCATCACCACAGTCTGTGAAAAGGGTCCATAGATGCCTCATTAGTGGCTGTTTCTATGGGTTACGATATGTAAGCCTTCCGCCATTTTTATTTAAATTAGAAATCTTTTCTAACAATATAAATCTTTACTATCACATTTTATCAATTTAACTCATCCTTGCTGAATAAAAGTAGCCTATTAATTTCTTTTAAAAAAAAGAAAAAAAAGACTGACCCCAAATGTTTGAAGGGTAGTGTATTTTGTTATAAAAGATTTCTATTTTAAATAAAAGCTGTTCTTTTTTAACTTTTTCTTCATCAAAGAACCCTGATAAAAATATCACAGGTTCTAAAAAAAAATTAAGTAGCACAACTGTTTCCAACATTGATAATAAATCAGCATATTAGAAGGATTTCTGAAGGATCATGTGATAATGAAGACTGGAGTAATGGCTGATGAAAATTCAGCTTTGCATCACAGAAATAAATGATATTTTAGAGTATTTTAAAAATAGAAAACTATTATTTTAAATTGTAATAATATTTCACAATATTACTGTTCTTTCTGTATTTTTGATCAAATAAATGCAGGCTTGATGAGCATAAGAGACTTCTTTCAAAAACATTAAAAATAGGAATGTTTCCAATCTTTTGACCTGTACTGTATATATAATTTGGTCCTAATATCTTGAAAATCTTTACAGTAAATTTGCAGTTGTAAATTCACAGTTAACAAACATTTTTTTTGGAATATGCTAATATTGTATAAATACCATCCACAGAGTTCAGTAGTCATGGATAAAGAGTGCCACATATATATACTACACCACAGAGTGGCAGTATAGGACTTCACTGCAGAGGCTCTGCTTTTGTTTTCCACTGTGATTCCATCTCTAGTTACGTCCTGCTCGGTCTAGACGGGACAAAACCCCTGACCAGATTCCTGCTGTCTTGCGTCAGCTGACTGACTCACAGACTGTGGGGGGAAAGTATGGGGTCCCGTTTGGAAAAAAACATGCTTCAGGGAAAACACCTTCCGAGACTTCAGTCTGAATTTTACACAAACACGGTGTCTGTTTCTTCTAGAGATGATTTTTTGAGGCAGACAGGATATATACTGTAGGGACTGTGGTCATTTCTGTTTTTCCCATCCGGTGATGACTAGACGCCTTTCAGTGACTGATAGACTGTCGGTCAGGCTCAAGTCATGCATTTCTTGCACTGACTTACAGACTAAACAACGAGCTATTGAATAATTCCATATGTAACATGGAACATAGCAACTCTCCAGCTAGCATGTGATATAATACATGCAGTAAATTCAATTCTAGCTTTTCAGAATGCTCAAAATATGAGAAAGGGCAGTGCTGAAAATAGCTAGAACCTGTGATAGATTATTTTGTAATGTTTTGCAAGGTTGTTATTCAACAGATGGATGTGTGGTGAATACCCCACACTTAAGTCCTTTACTCTGTCTGTGTTGTGAAAGAGCTGAGCGTGTTATGAAAGGCTTGGCGAGAGAAACAGTTCAAAAAGTGCTGGCTCATGATGACTGTGCTATTTATGTAGTGAGCTTTCATAATATGAGTCAGCACCTCAGCTTTTTTCCTCCCCGTTTCCAGCAGAGTGGATGAAAAACTTTGACTAACTGACATGCACATCATTTCATATTCCTCAGGTACATGCCATGTGCCGGTAATTGTTGCGGTTGTGGATCTCTTGGGATTTCACTCAACTTGTAACAGCTTATATCACATCCCTGAAGCAGCCTCACATGGCAGGATTATGCAGCAGGCTTTATAGTGTGCTATATAATAGGTTTGCATCTAAGACAAAGAGTGGCTTGCCAAGTGCTGGAGATGCAAGCATCTTATCCAAGCAGCTCATCCAAAAATAATGACTAAAATGTGTGATTTGGACTCTGTAGCATTAAGAGTCCGTTGTTATGTTCACCACTGCCTCTTCACAATCTCCTCGGCATTTAGTAATCCCTATTCAGCTCGACAGTTGGCCGCATTCCTGCTGTTCTGTACTTAATTTTTGTCGTTGAAAGGGGAATGTGAGTAACGGTTGCTGATGCACTCCCTCCTCCTGCCTCTCACATACTCCCCAGCATATAGATCAGTCTCCCACTCTCACCTACATGTGCGGCCCACTCTAGCTCATGCATCGCATACTACTTGCGCACTACCGCCTCCATCACTCCTCCTCCTCCTATATGGTGTTTTATTTAATGCTGTTTTAGTAGGCAAAATACATCGCTATGCACATTTGCAGGGATCTCATAGTTGCATTATTAACAGTAAGACTAATATAACATTACTTTCTATAACATTATTACTTTTAACCCTCTGGGGACGGATTGGGCGGTACCGCCCAAAATGGCATACTTTTACAAATGTGTAATTATCTTAAAAACTATTAATGATAGAGAGCTGCGGTCTTTTTTACCGTCTTCCTCAGATTCCGCTGAAAACAGTGATAACTTACCCGGCTTGTAAATATACACACTTCCTTGTTGCGCAATACCACTATGTAAAAGGCCAATGAAATCTGTTGTTTGGCAGATTCCGCGAACAACAACCAATTGAAAAATTGCCGATGGAGAAATATTTTTCTTACCCAATCAGAGGAAGGTTACCATGACCTTTCTAGCAGATCAGAGGACTCTGTAGCCTTGCAAGGGGTGTTACTATATAGTTAGGGATATGACGCAAACAGCGTTGAATGGAGAGAAGGAGAGAGAGCGAACGGAGGCTTACGGAGCGGATTATCAGAGATTTGT